GTAGAAGATAGTTTTAAGTGTTTTACAAACCTTGTTCTACGCGAATTTTTTATCGCTCCCCAACGCGCCCCACGTTTCGTGATACTTTTTCCGAATCACAACCGGCGTGTTTTCATTTGAAAATGTAGCCTTGCGAAGACGAATGTGACATGTTACTGGAAGTGTTACTGTTGTAATCACAAGCTAATCACAAAACAGCGGGGCAGCGGAGACTGGTTCCTCCAAACAATAGCATTAGGTGAGGATAAAATGTTCGAAATTGATATATAAATAGGCTGATGAGTACTCTGATGTAGGAATGTCTGTTTTTTATAATAAGACTGAAAAAAAAAAACATAAATGATAAGTTTGATTTTACAGTTTAGCCCTGTGCGTTTTGAAACCAGCTATCCTCTATGAAAAATGATTTTTGGGAGAATTGCAAGAGTAGTGCAGTGTAGAAGAAGAATTTTATAACATCGACCAAGCTTGCACTTTACTTTTATTCAGAGAAATATGCACATCACTCTTGAGAAAACAAAATCATAATCTACTCCCGAGACTGGTGTGTGTTGTTGTGTGGATGTTATGACTATGTCAGTTTCAAGGTATCATGAATTTGATTACTGATCTGACTACTGAGAAACACTGATACGCCCCATTCTTTTCGAAAGTATGCAGTTGCGTCTGAGGAAATTAAAATGGCGCCGGCAACGTCACCTTAGTTGATGCGCGTGGATTTGTTCATCTAGTACCTTTTCTTCGACATCACGCAAAGTTTGCACAGGTATTACTACTGGAAATACGTGAATCGCAGAGGCTAAGGGCCAGATGTAGGAAGAAAGAGAAAGAAGCCAATTGGGAAAAAAAATACATATAAAAAAACGAAATAAGCAAACAAAACAGAACAAAAACGAAGAAAAAAAGGAAAGAAAGAAAAAAGAAAAGGGAAATCAGTAGGATTCAAACCCCGCACCTTCGTTCTAGCACGAGTCCTCCTTTCCACTACACTACCAATCGATGTGAGAAGTATTTCATTTAAAGATTCGTAATTAAACAGAAATTCAATTCAATTTATTTTTCGGGAAAATAACAGGGCTATTGACGGTAAAAAACCAATGTAAATGGATTTCATAGCAATGAAAGAACATGTGCCCAACAATGCCGATGACACTCGTCTGCGAAGTAGGACGCAAAACAAGTATTCGTACCTCGATTTCCGCTGTTATTTTGAAGTTAATGGTCCAAATTAATTACTCCGATTCATTTTCTTTAGAAGGTACTTCTACCTTCGAAATTTATCGCTAAAAGCATTTCTTGACCTCTTAAACGGCGGCTAAAGCTAAAGCTAGGCAACTGCGTTCGCTCAAACCGCATTCTCGTCCCCAGAGCCACTCGGCTTAATTTGTAACCGACCAGAACCAGTGACCAGTGACCAAGAAACGACGGGCTCTGGGGACGAGAATGCTCAAACCGCTACCTCGCTTAGCGATTGTCGTGCGCGCGACAAATTCACAAACTCGCTTCACGAGGCAATTGATTGAATTGATTTCGCGTAACTGTACCGTCTGTCTCGATTGATTATCTCTTCGCTAACAGGAACGTCGTAGATTGCCATGTTTTTCCTTTCCGGAATGCAGAGGGATACAAATCTTCCACTGTTCTGATTAGCGTCTGGCGAATTGATTTTTATTTCCAATCAACTAATGGACCCTGAAGCCTAATAATTCAGATAAACGACGAAAAGTCCGACTTGGAGAAGGTGAGCTGAACGAGAATTTTGTTGTCTTATATAAGCATATTTTCAGGTTGCGATCATAGGATGTTATGGTCTCTTTTAGGTAAAGAGTGTAATAATGAAGGTTCAAAAAAGCATCATCAAAATTCTCCTCTGTTGTTAGCCTTTAAACAGCTGCTGTTGGCGAGTATCCGCGAGCACATGAAGGCATTTTGTTTAGCGCTTTCCAGACCTGTTTAGGAGGGGTTCGTTTTGTCGTTACTGTCCTTTCTCTGGGTCCTTCTTTTAAAGGCTTTTTGTTGGCACAACTTATTTTTTTTCCCCTAAAAAAGAAATTTTACTGAGTACAATTTGTTTAGGTTTGTTTTGTATTTACACTATCACTCTTCTTTGTAAATGCAAATCGCAATGTTCCCGCAGCGGTAACCAAAGACGCTTTAGTTGCGTTTCTTGTGGTTCCTAGAAAACTTTAATCTTTTTTCGCTGAGAACATATTAAAACTGAAATGTTTGTCACTTTAATAGTTTTTCATTACAAGGAAATCTTGAGAAGAACTGAGCGTCGGTAAAATGAAATCAGGATTGAAAAGGAAAGTTGCAATTTGCATGTAAAACGCGAAAGAGGAAGTTTGGTTTGTAATACAATCCTAGCAGGTGGAAATAAAAACCTTGATCGATTCTTGTCAGCAGATTTTATTTGGAAACTGTAAACCCTTTCTTGTTCACAATCGCCTTGTATGGTAAAAAGAAAAAAGTTTGCTTCCGTTTTATTCCGTCGGAGCTTTTAGTTTACGTGAACGAAATAATTCTGAAAAGGAAAAGAACAACCCAGCTACAAATTGACATTATTAAGTTACTTTCAACGGTATCGAAGGACGTTTCGACTCCATTTTGGAAAGTAGGGGAGGTTAAGAGCTTCCTTCTACTCAGTGTTTTCGTACAGCACCTCTATGCATTATTTACTTTTAAAAACCTTACAAATACAGAAAATTTATGGTAATATAAAGATATTTGTTTTAAAGCTCGGCCGACATCGCATTTTTACTATGCTGACTTTTATTTTTCAAACACTGTGCACAGTTAATTCCCTGTTTACTGGCTTTAGGAAGTGATCTGCTTCCATATAAATTATGCATTCCGACGAATGTTGTACATCTAAGTACTAGCTAACAATTCTGAAGCAATTACTCTTTGTTGCTTAGACTTCGGCAAAGTCCTCCGCAGTCGCGTGCTTATGTTTTACGCTCGATTCGCATCGCTCGCCTTGGAGCTACTAACAAAATGTTTTCGCCTGTATTACTGATGAAAGAGATCGACTTGGTCTGAAGTCTACTCCGGCATTTCGAGCTCGGTGGCTATTGTTAAGCTAGCATAACAAAAGTGTAAAACGTGTCAAATTGATTATCATAGTCTGATTGATATGTTCAGCAGTTGCACTCTTCGTCCAAGATAAAAATTTGCAAGGAATTTGAAAACAAGGGTTCTGACTTCGCCAAAAAAAAAATTGTCATGGGTGATTTAAAAGCCAAAAACCTGAAACTTCGCCAGAAAAAGTTTACGTGATCGTGTTAAAAAGAGAGGTCAACAGAAAGCCGCGATTCATTCTTTTTTGTTTGAAGTTCAGGCAAACGACATCTCTTCACTTGGCATCTCCTTTCCGTCTTATTGTCTTTCCCATTTAAGGTTTAAGAGAGAAGTGATCTTCAGTGACTACCGACAGTTAGAGGAAAACCTAACAGAAGGTGCAAAGATTCACTATAGGGACTCTGTGGGGGTCGGGTGTAAGTGCGAATATAGTGTTTAGAACTGGTTGGCACTCCAGAGTGATTTACGTTGAGACTTATAATAATAGAGAGATTTTAGAGTGACGTTTAGGGCAAACTGTGAACGTGAGATTCAAGTTGAGAATTACTCAAAATAGAAAACGTGGAGCTAAAAACAGTCCAAAGCAATTGTTGGAGACCAAAGTAACTCGGGGCTACTAATTTTAGAGGTAGAAGTAATGAACAGTAAAGTACGAGTTGAGGGAAAACTTGGTCACTTGGTACAAATTCACGATTGCCGTTAATTTTGCCGTAAACGTGACTCTAAATGACTCTAAATCTCTCTGATAATAAGTTTATTTTTATAGCGTTATTCCAATAACTGCTCATAACGCTTTACAAATCATTCTACGCAAGCAATTTACAAATCATGCTACAAAATCTATTTAGAAAATCTGTTTACAATCAAAATTATAGAAATAACTAACTAGTTATAGCTATCGCGAAGTGCCAACGAGCAAAGATTTTACCTATACGCGCGCGCTGTTCAATTTGTTTAGAAATGTTGGAATTACCGTAATTTTTGTCGATGAAAAACTCCACGAGGATGGACGGGGGGTCAACGAACGGCTTTAAATGAAGGGTGGATTCAGTGGCAACATACGCGTATAGCTGTCGCATTTGCCCGCTGGAATTTTTTATTGTTTTTAAGCCCAAAAACAATAATAAATTCCACCGGCCAAATGCGACAGCTGAAACGCGTATGTTGCCACTGAATCCCACCGATGATTGGTTGAAGACGGGATGAACACACAAACTTGCACATGGCTCGTGTATTCTCTGTTCTGTATCACGTGTTCGCTCGAAAACAATGCATTCTCTGTTCTTCATTACGTCCTAAAAGTTACCTTACACTACCTTATGTTACATCGCTTCGAGATTCATTCTCCCTTAGAACTTTCGCGCTCGGCTTTATAAGGTTGCCGCCTGGCAGCCTCGCGTCTTCGCGAGGCGTCTTGTTGACAATTACTTATCATTAACTAATTGAAAATTCTAACGATACGAATGAAATAAGGTAAAACGAAATGAAGAGATGGGTTTTTAGTTGACGTTAAAGGCATTGATGTCGGCAGCCTTTCTTAAACTGAAGAAACTGGCTGTTCATTCCAAAGCCTTGGTCCAGCGATAGAAAGCGCCCTGTCTCCGTAAGTCACAGTTCTAGATCTCGGAACACTTAAAAGCTCCAGAGAACAAGATCTAAGTTAGCAACTATAACAGCACACGGCCAAAAGGTCAGATAGATAAATACGCCCCAAGCCATTGAGAGCTTTATAAATTAATAGGCATATCTTAAAAGTAATACGTTGAGATACAGGTAACCAGTGCAGCGATCTCATTAGTACAGGCAATCAACAGACACATGATTTTGAGTGCAATTTGGGAGAAATATGCAGGAGTAAATTTTTTTAAAGACCACAAATGTCAAATTTTTTTAGCCTTTGAAAAATTAACGAGTGCTCATTTATTCCAAATTACACGAGAAAAATAGTATGATTACTTATTAATAACATTCATGAAAAAATGCGAGATAGCTCTAAAATCACATTGACAGATAGGCAACACGCGTAAACTACGTGCAAAAATAATTTATTCAAATGCTGCAAATATCATCACACGTGTAGTCAAAACAACATTTTTCTCGATGTTTTTAAAGTTTGCAAGCCGCAGAAACGGGCTAAACAGTTCATGGGATTGACGTTCAATCTGTTTGGATAAAAGATTCTGGGTTATTACCTCCGAGTTTTCCGCTCTTCCAGAGAATTTCTTTTTTCCTGCTCTGATACTTGCCGAGCTTTGTTTGGGCGCTTGGACGAACTAAATTCTCTGTCACGTACAATGGACAGGGTGCAGCCTTTGTTCTTTAAGACTGCGTGCAAACGGACTCAACAACTCCCAACATTAATGGCGCAACAATGTTGGGAGTTGTTGCGTGCGCGTTGGCAGTGGTCTGCAAACGGATGCAACAACTTCCAACAATGTTGGGACCTGCAGTGCATCGTGGGAAGGATACAACCCATAAGTCTTTGTAAACCATGCGTAATGAGCGTTCGTGGCCCCAACAATGTTGGAAGAGCTGTTTCTGCAAACGGATGCAACAACTTCCAACAATGTTGGGACCTGCAGTGCATCGTGGGAAGGATACAACCCATAAGTCTTTGTAAACCATGCGTAATGAGCGTTCGTGGCCCCAACAATGTTGGAAGAGCTGTTCAAACGGATCCAACATGGTTGCGCTGCGCTCCGGCGATCACGGAACAAAAGAAATGTTGGGAGTTGTTGGCTGAACAACAATGTTGCGTCTGTTTGCACGCAGCCTAAGCGTCTATCAAGCGATGCCATCATTATTTAAGGCTTTCTAGTTCATAATCTTCACCTTTTTCGTTGTTTACTTCGGCGTATAGTAGAAATGCTCGAGCAAAGTGTTAAGCTCAGCAGGCTCATAATTATCTATTTCAAAAGTAATTTCCTTTCCTACGCACCACTTCCTCCAAACAGGAGCCAAAACCAGTGCTTTCCGCAATGATTTCGTTTTTAGAGCAGTTTTTTAGCTCCTCTATAGTTGTTTCGGTCGCAAAAGTAAATGTGCTACAAACGCCAGCCATTGCGGTTTTTGCTCGAAACTGGTCCAGAGCGGATCCAAATTTTGCGCCATTCAGATGGCGCATTTGATTGGCTCTCAGTGAGTTCTTTTGTTTATTAACCAATCAGAATATTACGTTTGTTACTCTTTTCTGCGCTAAATTACCTTTTTTCTACACCGTATTACCAAAAAACTGCATTTCTCTTAGCCAAGCACAATCGAGAAATTTTTTCATATATATTATTATAGGAGTTATGTGGTCGTACTTGCGAGCAAGACTAACCACAGGAGCAGCAGTGTTCAATACTAATTCAGGGGTTTCAATTAAAAATTGAAGTAGCCGACAGGTTTGATTAGAGTAACCGACTGGAGTACTCCTCCAGAAAATGTTAAAATTTCAAAGCCCTACATGCGATTTCCAGCGTGCTGAACGTGAAAAGTTGACTGAAATACAGCGTTCACATAACCAACTAACTAAAGCGTAAGTTTGGTGGTTCTTTGTGGATTAGAAAAAACATCATAATCGCGTTTTCATTGATATTTTGAGATATATTCTTTGTTTGCGAATTTATTAAAACGTTATAGTCGCTTCTTCGTTCGCAAAAAAAGTAACCGACTTCTCTGAGCAAAGTAGTTAACGCATTTCGTCGGTCGTCGGTGGTTATTGAAACCCCCTGCTAATTGCAGCCTATTGCTCTGATATTTAGGAAGTCCAAACAAGAGGGCATTACTGTAGTTAATCATAGACGTAGCAAAGGAGTGAACTAAGGTTTTAGAGGAACCTTGATCTAACAATTTTTTTGTATTCCCTATGTTTCAAAGATGGTGTTGGGAAGTTTTACATATCATAGTAAATTTATGTTTATCCATTGCCATATCCTGGTCAAGTATCACTCCAAAACTTCTTACAAGAGCTGGTGTTTAATAGTTTCAACTCCTACTCGAATGGAAGTGACCATTGGCCGTGATTGATACTTGGAGCTTATAACCAAAAGCTTTAGCCTGTTATTAATCATGCATCTGTCGATGTCCACGACACAGCGATCAAGAACTTTCGAGGTTTTAGATAGGACTTAAACCAAGCAAGGGCCGTACCATTGAGATCAAATCGGTCTGATAATCTAAATAACAGAACAGAATGATCTACAGTATCAGAGTAATAAATAATAATAATAAAAGAATCAATGAATGGTTACTGTCAATGATACAAAGAATGTCAATGTACACTATTTTAATTTTTCAATCTATAGATAACTTTCCTTGGTCACAATTCATATAACGCTCTTGTTCTTAAATGATTTGGGCGGTAGTGGGAGATAGGGCATAATAGTTTTTGTAACAAATTTAGCTCCTTTTTTATATGTGATGTAAATTAACCCTTGCAGGTCTACTCTGATGGCTTCAGCTCCAACATTTGCTCCACCCAATAAGGAGACAACTAATTACGCCAGATTATGTCGCCTTTTAGTGGATGGAGGAACCAAGGTTTTGAGATACACCTTTGACAAGTTCCACTCCCCAGCAAACCTGTTTAATGTTTTGAAGGCTGGTTCTGCAGAACATTCAACTCTGCAGTCCATCAGAAAAAGGAAAATCATCAATGCCACACAGTGGGGTAAACTGTATCCCTCTCCTCCTTCGTCTGTAACATCAGAACACTTTGACATCACGTTATTGATGGTGCTTCTAAGGAACATCTGTGGTCTGCCTGCTCCTGCCACAGGCTGGGACGGTCTGCCACCTGCTTCAGACACGAGTGTTGAGGCTAACATTGCCAGAGTGAAGCACTATAGAAACTCGGTCTATGGGCATGCCAGCCAGGCGTCTGTGGACGATCCAACATTTAATTCTTTGTGGCAGGATATAAGTGCCGCACTAGTTTCACTGGGTGTAGATGCAGCTGCTGTCACTAAACTAAAAACTGAGGCTATGGATCCAGACACGGAGACGCATTACCGAGAGCTGTTAAAGGAATGGAAGAAAGACGAAGATAGCATTAAGGACCAACTTGACAGAATGGAAGGTATTATAAGTAGTNCTGCCTGCTCCTGCCACAGGCTGGGACGGTCTGCCACCTGCTTCAGACACGAGTGTTGAGGCTAACATTGCCAGAGTGAAGCACTATAGAAACTCGGTCTATGGGCATGCCAGCCAGGCGTCTGTGGACGATCCAACATTTAATTCTTTGTGGCAGGATATAAGTGCCGCACTAGTTTCACTGGGTGTAGATGCAGCTGCTGTCACTAAACTAAAAACTGAGGCTATGGATCCAGACACGGAGACGCATTACCGAGAGCTGTTAAAGGAATGGAAGAAAGACGAAGATAGCATTAAGGACCAACTTGACAGAATGGAAGGTATTATAAGTAGTGTCTTAAATGAATAAGTGTCTTCTTTCTAAGCTTAAATGTACTGAACGATGGGCTTTAGGTGGAGATGAAAACTTCGAACTGGACAAAAATAACTTTCCAACTACAAAGGAAGCTTTTCATAACTACAGTAGAACCTGGAAAACTCGAACTCGGATAACTCAAATTCCCCGGTAACTCGAAATATTTTTCGTTTCCCTTCAGAGTTCGAGTTACCGGGGTTGTATTGTATAAACTGACATCGAAAGGACTATTTATAAGCAGGTTATAAGTAGGTTTCATTTAACGTCTGATGATGTAAAGTGATGTAAACTTTACACGGAAGGCAACAGAAGTAAGACTTTTTAGCGTTTAGAAGTAAGGATATATTTCTGTTTAGATTTAATCAGAGAACAGATGAGAGGGAGTGAAATGGAAAGTATTAGCGAGAAGATAACAGAGGAAGGAGGTCAGTTCCCAATGTTAATTCTTGACTTCATAACTTGGACACTCTTTAATTTGATTACTGTTTATTGTGATAAGGTACTCGCCATTCTATCAGCATTACGTATATGATCGGGTATATGGAGAAGACGGCCACTTCAACTGATATAATCTAAACTTCTTCTCAATTAAAGATGTTGATGAACATCTTATTTTGCTTAGTGTATTCTTCCCCTGACAGATAGAACAAGAGAAGACCTAAAGAGAATAAAAAACAAGATAGAAAACATCAATAAAAACTTAAAGACTTTAATGGAATCTCCGACCCGCGAGGAAGGTCAGTTTCCCCACACTGTAGCTCGCTGCTTAGGACTAGTATTGCTGACTGATCAGTGACTATTTGTCTGTATCACTCTTGGGCACCACAAAAACAATTCCGCACCCATAAGCGAATTTCTCCAAAAGAGCCCACAGTGCTGCAATTTATCCATTTGCCTTTGCTGATTCTCTCAGCAAGTGAAATGAGAGATTACATACCTTGAACTAGATGGAAACGCCCTGGCGGCCATCTTGGTTTCAAATGTAGCAAGGGGTAGCTCATTTTTCTTTTAGTTTGTAGCAAGTGTTTTTGTTTGCAGCAGTATTTATATTTGCTGTATATCGCTTGTGCGTCACCGGGTAGTTACTCTCCCCAGATGAAAAAGAGATGCAGCCTTTCAAACCCAGCAAGCATGCGAGAAAATAACCTAACATTTTAGTAGGAAGATGATCGTAACCACTAATATAATTGCCCTGCTTCTCACAATTTCAAGAGGCCTGGTAAGACTGCAGGCTGCCTTTAAATAAAAAGAGGGCCTTTGTCATGTTTCATGTCGTTATTGAAGGGACCCCTCACAACAGCTGCAGTCTGGCATGTTGTACCCTTGTTTTTAACGGTGTGTTTTGGCCAGGAGAGATACTAATCGATAAAGCTACGTTTTCGTTTGCAAATCGCCTTCTCCCAGCATGGTTATACAGGTAGTTCTATTCATTTATTTTACGGACTTGGAAAGAAGTAAACCAAACTGGTTTCGACAAATATCGACAACAAAGTTTGGTTCTCATTTATTCTCAACAGTCGATTTGGTTGCCGAGCATATTGAAATCATTCGCCAGAAGTACAAACGACATGAGGGATGGCTCGCGCCCTTTCCTTGGTGCGAAGAATTTCAGTTTCAACTAAGCGATATTTATACACGGCTTCGTATGGTCAGCAGAGAGAAAAAAGCGAGAGCAACAGCGCAGCAACGAGTTGTTGCAACGACTGAAATCTTCAAACCCCACGAAGAATGCAAACAACCCAGAAAAGTATTGATTGAAGGAAAGCCAGGTATGGGAAAGACGACATACTGCAATAAGGTTACTTACGACTGGGCTATAAACATAAAAAACAAAGAAGATGGCTTTCCGGAATTTGAGATGGTGCTTTTGGTGAGATGCCGTGATGTCGACATCGATTCCGACCTTTGGGGAGCCATTGACGATCAGCTTTTGCCAGGTGAAACTCTCCAAAATGAAAGAGAGAAATTCTTCGAGTTTATTAGGCAAAATCAATCAAAGGTTCTACTGATACTTGACGGATTGGACGAGTTACCCTTGAGCAAACTGCCGGAGTTTACCGAAATCATACAAGGTAAAATGCTTCCTCTATGTTCCCTTGTGGTTACAGCGCGACACGAGGCTGGCATACCTGTGCGAAAAATTTGTGACACTCTGCTAGAGATTAAAGGTTTCAGTTTTGAAGATAGCAAAGAATTTATTCACAAATATTTTGCTGGCAAGAAAGATTTGGCTGAAAAGCTCTTGGACAAAATTAAAAATGAGGAAAGGCTTAAAGAAATGACGGGGAACCCGTTAAACACAGCACTGCTTTGCCTTCTTTGTGAAGAATTTCAAGGTATTTTACCTGAAAGCACAACTCAGTTGTACTTGGAAATAGCACACTGTGTTCTTATTAGATACAGGAAAAAGAAAGGTCTTCCAGTCGAAAATGAGGATCTGATTGAAATCTACAATGATCAGTTGAAATTCCTTGGCTCGATAGCGTTAAACGGTCTGTATGATGACAACATGTACTTTGAGGACAAAAGGCTTTCAAGTGAAAATGCCGACGTACCTGAATTTGGCTTTCTGTCAGCTCAACCTGGAAGCAGCAAACGAAGGCCGTGTCTGTGCTACGGCTTTACGCATAAGAGTTTTCAAGAATTCTTCGCAGGATATCATCTTTGTTACCAGCTTGTTAGCAAAGACATCAGTCCCTATGTATTAGTCACTGACACAAGATATTTCCGAGAGTTGAGAGAGGTATTAAAATTTACCTGTGGTCTGCTAGCAGTGAGATCTGAAGAAAGTGCAGTATCCCTTATCCTCTGCATAGCGAATGAGGTAAACGAAAAAAAGGGGAGAGAATGTTTACCTGTTGCACTGGAGTGCATAAAAGAATGCAAAATTGAAAACAGCTATTTTCATATAGAACTAGCACATTACTTTGGCACATGTCTGGAACTTCAAGAGCTTGATCTTGCGGATAATGATCTTTATGAATTGGAAGGTATAGGTGATGCTGATGCTGCTGTGCTTGCTGTCGCGCTTGAAACAAACACAACCCTGGCAAATTTGAATTTGGCTCACAATAACCTTGGTTTGGCTGGTGCCGAGTCACTTGCTGCAGCGCTTAAAACAAACACAACTCTGACAAATTTGGATTTGTCTTGGAATAACCTTGGTCCTGCTGGTGCAGAGTTACTTGCTACAGCGCTTAAAACAAACACAACTCTCACAAATTTGAATTTGTCTCGTAGTAAACTTGGTCCTGCTAGTGCTGAGTCACTTGCTAAAGCGCTTAAAACGAACACGACTCTGACAAATTTGGATTTGTCTGGCAATAACCTTGGTCCTGCTAGTGCTGAGTCACTTGCTACAGCGCTTAACATTAGCTCAACTTTGGCGAATGTGAATTTGTCTGACAATAACGTTGGTCCCACCGTTGCTGAGTCACTTGCTACAGCGCTTAAAACAAACACAAGTCTGACAAATTTGAATTTGTCTGTCAATAACCTTGGTCCTGCCGGTGCTGAGTCACTTTCTACAGCGCTTAAAACAAACACAACTCTGACAAATTTGGATTTGTCTGGCAATAACCTTGGTTTGGCCAGTGCTGAGTCACTTGCTACAGCGCTTAAGACAAACACAACTCTGACAAATTTGAATGTGTCTTGGAATAACCTTGGTCCTGCTGGTGCTGAGTCACTTGTTACAGCGCTTGAAACAAACACAACTCTCACAAATTTGAATTTGTCTCGCAATAAACTTGGTCCTGCTGGTGCTGAGTCACTTGCTAAAGCACTTAAAACGAACACGACTCTGACAAAGTTGGATTTGTAACCTTGGTCCTTATAAAACAAACACACTTCCAAAAGATTTAGAATTGTCTCACAATGACCTTGGTTGTGCAAGTGTCGATTCTTGCTATAAAAGCCCCTGAAACAAACATAACCCTACCTTTATTGAAATTGTTCACGATAAATGATGTTTAGATGAAAGACAACAGCGTTGGGTAAACTTACAATGGCTTAGAACGCGGTTTTGTTGAACACGGGCTAAACTGCGTTTAAATAACCTCAGTGTTTATGACACCAAATCTGGTACCAGTAGGGCCGGGGCCCCGGCCAGTAAGGTAGGGCATTTGCACGCAATTTGGCCATTCCCGCGGGGAGGGAGGACTGCGATATGAAAAAGGTTGGAATTTTCATCCAAGTCAATCTGGGGGTGTCTTTTCGCTTTATATAGAGATGTAGCATGAAACTATAGTATGGAAAGTTGTTGCTACAATACGATCAGCTAAACAAGGGCCATTTAGAATTCCTTTTTGGTTACAATAAAGGTAAAATATTATCTAGTTTTAAAAAGATTGGTACCAATGATTAACAAAAAGACAGATCATATTTAAAACGTAATAGACTTCCCGTTCACAAGCAATGGACTCAGACTGTCTTTGCTAATTTCATTAAAGAAGTTACAGCTTTAAGTCGATCATCGCTCTCAATTATTCGGCGGAGTTTGCGGGTTGATGGCGACGGTTCTTGATACTTTCCGTGGTAAATGTTCATTGTTGCAATCTGAATATGTTGGGTGCAATTTTGGTACGGCTGTGCCAGGGAAAGAAATTGGTTTTGGAGCAGAGACTGTGGGTTTAAGTTTGAGCTAGGACTGGCTGACGGGCCGGCGACATTTTGACTTGTGATTCCTGAAGCTTCTTGCTGAACAGCGAGTTGTGGCCGAAACGTGTCTCTTCAAATATTTGAACACTCTCTTATTTGTGCACTTGTTGTAGACTGATCCTTACAGCAGGAAGAGTGATAGCAAAAAAAATAAAATATTGGGCAATTATAATTCACGATTTTGATTTTGTTTTCTTTCTTTATTTTTCCTTGTAAGGATCAATCTTCTGTTCTAATTTTACAATTTGAGCACCACGACACGGGCAGGCATTTCTTCCTGCTTCCCTTATGCAAAAGGCAGTACTTATACACACCCACATATCATCGTGTCCTGTCTTTGCCGCCACTTCCCAATCAATGTTTTTCCTCAATGGGGGTAGAAAAAAATCATTATTTCTTTTTATGTAATACTTCACGAATTGGTACGTAACGTAAGTAGTTTTCAAAACTAGAAACCAAAACAAACCGTTGAGTCTGCCCCGTACCGACTGGAAGTCAACATTAAATAGTTTATTCTGGTTAATGTTTAATAGACCCAGATTATCTCTCAGTGGAGTTAAGTTCCAGGTGGCTTTTCTGTTTGTTACAATTGCATCGTAAAATTAGCAAATTAATTATGCATATAACAGACAAAGTGGCTATTTTTACTGGGGGGCGGCAGTATCTCTCTGGGAATTTGATATTTTGACCTGATATTTTGCTACATAAGACAAATACCGCAACTACCGATACCTAACATTTGTGCTAAGTTTGGGCGAAATCGGTGATTTGAGCATTATCACCACCTGCCTGGTTGTACCTGGTTTTCCTATCGACACACTCTTAATTAGTCCATTGTCCATCGGTCGGATTTTGTATCAATCTGCCAGCCCGATCGCGGAGCATTTACAGGTGTCCGAAGAAAAATAGAAGGGGAAGTTGTAATTTCTCCTTCCACGGTAAAAAATGTGGCGCCGTCCCTGTTCAAAGACGAAATAGGAAGAATTAAGCAGCGATAGCGCAACGAAAAGTGATCAAAAGAGAACGCGGAAGCGCGCTAGGAGCTACTTATCGGTTTTGTTGCTCGGCAACTGCGGACACCATCGGCTCCTGTCCGATGTATAAGAATATCAGGGCCTTGATAGGCTCATGGGAATATATATGACGAAACGGAGATCACATCACACCAAGCGATCCATGAGGAAGCAACGTGGCAAGTTCTCGACAAATGAAATCAGCCATTTTCATTTAATGTGATGTAATTAGCCCCTTACAGAACAACCTAGTTTTCTTTTTGATGAACAATGAGCCTGGGGAAAGACAAGCTTACGAAATAGCTGCAGCGGGAAGGACAGATTAAGTAATGTTTGATTAACGAGCGGGAGAGGTTTAGCGGGGTATATATGAAAACCGACCCGCGAGTTTATTGAACGACTTCAAAAATATTCCTAGAAAAGCGTGTCTCAGTGGAGTTGATAACAATAACGCATTTGTGAACTTTGGAAGTTAGCATACGAAAAAAACATTACGTATGAAATTATTATGTAAGAAAGTTAAATCTCACACTTGTTTAGAAATTTTCCAGTCTACGGACGACACTAACCGAAGAGGACATAGCGCCTTGTTCCAGAGCTTTTCGAAAGCCAAAAAATGTTGAGGAAGAGGTGAAGTTAATTGAAAATGGTACCCCAAAGTCAAATATTCCACTGAAAAAGTATCCTTTGAAAAAACTTTTCTGGAATGGCCGAATGGTAGGTAAACAAAAATCCAGTACTCGAGCCTTGCGTATTCACAACTGCCAAGTCCTGAGTGAAACGCTTGGACACTGCTATAGCAAATATTACCGCTGTGTCACTGAACTTTTAGCTGATTAAATTGGTGAAAGAACAAAGTTTAATAATTTGCAATAGTAAATTTACTGCATGTGTTATTTTGAAAGAACATTAAATGTTCACCCACCATTTGTGGTGTCAGTTGCTGTGCTGATAATTAATATTCATAGGTCACGTGCAATAGTATTTTTTATATAAAGAATACTAATGAGGATGAAATTTTTAAAGTTTGACAGTGTTTTACCGGGGTTTAAAACACGAGAACGTGACATGATTTTACCGGAGGTGATAGGTTGTACAGCTCATGAATTATTAATGAGTTTTTGAAGTTGTCTATAAAAATCATCAAAAAACACATTTTGGTCCATACAAGAACCGCTGAAGGAAGAATTTTCAACAACGTGAGTGTTCAAACGATTTATTTCAGCAAAAAAAATTGGGAGTTTCGCTTATTTTGCAAAAGAAAGGAAAGGGCATTTTAATAGGTTACAATTTAGACTTTTTCATTAATTCATAGTTTATAAAATTGTCCTTTTCACTCTTTCATAGGTTACAATTTAGACGTTTCACACTGTGAAGCAGACTTTTTCGCAGTTTAACATACGACGATGTAGCTTTTTTTGCACTCTCATCTCGTCTATAAATTATCAAGCCAACTCAAGCTTATGTGAAGCTAGGTCTTTTCGTCTTAGCATCTTCTCTGTTAACTTAAATATTATTTTGTTTCACGTTCTAGTAAAGTGTGTAGTAAGGTAAGTGGAGTGAATACAACAATCAACTGAAAAAAATTGATAAAAGCAATCATAGAACAATGTCTATTAAACGAATCAATCTATTGACACACTTTATTAAGCGTACAGCTGTAAGATAACAACCCAAAAAAACGTTCTACAGATAGTATTTACACAAGTCTAAGCTGGGTCGTTCATGACCCTAAGATTTTGTAATCTCCATGAGCTTGTTTGGAATAACCATACTGTAAGATATAATGTTTATCATCATAAGGGGATAAGCTTGTCTTAGTGACTGTCGCCGCTTGCAGCTGATGATTTACGCTCCTATAATCTGCATCATACTGTGTGATTGGAGAGTTTTAGTGAAGAGGCAGTCTTTATAATCAACATACCGGATTTCACGCTCTGTCACGCAATTCTTCACCCCCTTGGCTGTCTTCTTTTCTTTTTCCTTTCCATCGTTTTTTAGAATGAAGCTATATATTTGCGGACGTAACCCTACCAATTCTCGAATGAGGCAGCCACTGGTTTCGTCCTTGAATTTTCCAATCACCTTCTTGTTCACGGGGCTGTGGAGAACATGTTGTTTCGGGTAATCAGCCGTGTCAAACTTCTCCAAGTCTGGTTGGATGTCTCGGTAGAAATGATCGGTGAAGACTTGATAGCAAAGGCTGTCGATATCGGTAGAGAGGAGCTTTAGATGAGTGCTTGATACTTGGGGAGCATGTACTAGTAATGGAATTGGTACATGAGAACCTTAAAGAGGTCTAAAAAGGTGAAACCGGTGTAGACGGGCTTGTTCAATAAAAGCTTTTCCCTCACCATATTCACACCCACCAGATGTTCATTAAACTGCTTAGCGACCTTGAAAGTAGGTTTAGCCACCAGTTTTTTCATTTTTTGAGACTCTATGACTAGCTCCACTTTGACATGCTTTCGGATGTTCTGCATTGTTTTGCCAAACACGCTATTGTTCGTGAGTTTATAAAAGTCTTTTTCAAACCCATTCTTCGCTTGAGCGCTTATTTGCGTGTTCAAATCAATGTACTGTTTCAACCATGGCTCCTGCTTGAACTGGAGGACTCCATGGATCTTGGAGAGTTTCATCCGCAAATCAAGGTACAACTTTAAATTTCGGTGATGGAGAATATACTTCTCCTTGTTGTGGAGACTGGGTACTAGTTTCTCCACTTTTCTGTGGCGATAGTGCAAGGCCTCCCCAAGAGCTTGAGAGTAAGTGCTTGTTATCTCACACGTGATCTTGAGATGTTCTGGAGCTAGTGGATAATCGTTGTGTGTATCATGGAGATGGGGTGGGTACTCCAATCCACTTCCAAGATGTAACCGGTGGGGCTATCATCTGACACCTCTTGCACCTTGACGTCTCTCACATCCTTCATCCACTCAAAACGACTGGCCGGGAGTGGTTACGACATCGCCCACCCATAAAGATTATTCGCGTCAAGGTAAATAATGTAGGAGAAGGGCAGCATTGGATTTTTTTTATCAAGGTAGCTGTGGTTGGCTTGAGCATACCAATGAGTGGTCATGAAAATACCCCCGCGCAATCCTTGCTCAATGAACAAATATTGATTAATATCCGTCAAGGTGTCGAGCTTGATGTTGGTTAACTTTAGAGCTGCATACCAAGCTAATGCAGGCGCGGTGTAGTAAAGAGCTGAATGTAAATCATACGTGGCTAAGCAGATATTTCGAAAAATTTCAAAACCATCCTCTAGAAGGAGAGTATCAGTGATTAAATACACATCGTGATAGTCTTCCATATCTTGACATCCTGTCTTCTCCTACACTTGCTGCGCATGCTGACAGGCTTCTTGCGTTAGAGGTTCTTGAGTCAAGTCATTGAAAAAAGCGTCTTGAGGTGGGAGTGAGGTTTCTTCAAATTTAGTAAAACTATCCATATAAGCATATGGATAATGTCCTTTCTGAGTCAACAGAGGTAGGACTTCCTCTAAGGGGGCTTCCAGTGTGCAGTCGTTTCTGAATTGGTCCTCTAAGTGGGGGAACTCATATCATCCAGGTTGTGCACTAGAGTCTCCAAACTGCTGGCCATAAACTGGTAAGAGTCGATGAACTGCAGTTTACCCACTGAAAAGGAAATGTAACGCTCCATGTTTTTTGGAATGCAATCAAGCTTCTTTTTCTCCACTTTGTGGATTCCCTGTATTAACAAAAGACCATCATAGCCACGAAGATTGTGGAAGATGATGGGGATCAATAATTGCCTTTGTTTTTGGCGGTTACAGGTTTGATGCGCTGCACCGCGGTACGCTCCCGTAGCATGATCATGATCACTGACTTTTCTATTCTCCTCTTAAAAAGGGTGTTTACAAATATAACAAATTTGCGCTGCTAAAAGTTGAGCCTCATCTTCTTCTGTTAATAACATCAGTTTGTTTTCTTTGAGGTAAGGGAGCAGTGTCTCCTCTAACTCCATCATTTTGATTTATTTATATATTTTGGGCAATTTGTTAAATAATTATAACCCCTTTGAAACGCATTTTGCAAGAAACTTTAGAGTTTAAATGAGAGATTTGACTGAGCCAGTCAAATCTCGACAGAAGTTTTGTGCCGAATCGAATTTTTAAATCATGTTTAATTTATTATGACACACAATTCTCAATTTTTCCCGACTATATAAAAACTCGTTCGTGATTCGACGTCTAAAATGGCGGATTTACTTATTTAAGTAGAACCAAATAGGTATCAGACTCGGCACATGTGAAATTTGACGTTTAAACCGGGCCTAACGAGATGCTATTTGGACGATTAAACCTCCAATTTAAACTCAAGTTTCTTGCAAAATTGGTTAAAAAGGAGTTATAGCTATTTAATAAATTGCCCAAAATATATAAATAAATCAACACTTCAAACCATTCGAGTCAAAATTCTTTAATTTACTTTATTCTAGTAATTCTAGCATCTTCGGGAGTTAAACGACATCCCATTCCATTCCGATAATCCCTCGGGGATCATTTCGGGTCGCGTGTGAAAAAATTTGGGGATCATTTCGGGTCGTGTTTAGGTCGATTTTGGGGATCATTTGGGGTCGGGGATCATTTCGGGTCGCGTACAGATGTCTATGTAGACTATCAGGTCTTGTAAAGGTTGCTTTGCATCGTTGACATTTTAAGTCAGGTAGCCTTCTCTTCTACTCCATGGTTGATGTGAACACTAGGCAAGCTAATAGCAAATGATGATTTAACTCCCTCCACCCCTTTATATGCCTCCACCGATCACCATTAATGCTGAGTCGTCACTTTTTCAATCCATTGTTTATAGCGTTATTCTACTGTACTCCTAACAAGGTCAACCTGTTTTCCTTTCGAGTTTTAAACAGGTTTTAAAGATAATGTTTAAACTTGCCCGCTGTCGTGATACATGTGTTGACGTCATAGCTATGTTGTAATTTACGTAGTGACTATCATGTTTAAACTTGCCCGCTGGAAAACAGTTGTTCTACCAAGACATCCAAGCATGCTACAAGCTTATATACATTATAAAATCTTAGGGTGATGAACAGCTAGCTTAGACTTGTGTAAATACTATCTGTAAAACGCTTTTTCGGGTTGTTATCTTTCAGCTGTATGATAAATAAAGTGTGTCAATAGATTGATTCGTTTCATAAACATTGTTTTATGATTGCTTTTAATTTATGGATTGTTTTCACATGAATGTTGTATTCAAAACACTTATCTCCTATTATAGTCAATATATGAACGGCTCCACACACCTTCACTATAGCGTCAAACAAAATAATATTTAAGTTAACAGAGAAGATGCAAAGATCATGAAAAGACCTAACTTCACATCAGCTTGAGTTGCCTTGATAATTTCAAGACAAGATTAGAGTGCAAAAAAAGGCTACATAGTCGGATGTTAAACTGCGAAAAAGTATGCGTCATAACATGGTAAAGTGTGAAATTTCTACATTGTAAGATATGAAAGAGTGAAAAAGACAATTTTATAAACTATGAATGAGTGAAAAAGTCTAAATTATAACCTCTTAAAAGCTGAAAAAGTCTGAACTGTAAACTGTTAAAAGTTGAAAAGGGCGGTTTTATAAACTATGAATGAGTGAAAAAGTCGGAGTTGTAAACTATTCAAAGTTGAAAAAGTCTGAGTTGTAAACTGTTAAAAGTTGAAAAGACAGTTTTATAAACTACGAATGAGTGAAAAAGTCTAACCTATTAGAAGATGATAAAGTCTCCATTTTAAATGGTACACAAGCAACCCGTTGTCTCATTTCTTTGAACTCATATTAAGAATAAAGACCTTTCTAGGAAATGATACAAAGAATTTTCACTGACTGCGGATGCATATACACGTTAGCAAACGTGTTCGTGACGTGAAGATGTTGTAGCGCAACAAGATGAAACGTTGTCTTCATGGTTTCACGGCTCCACTGCTCCTGGTGCCGGCTCTACGGCTCCCAGCTCCGCGGCATAAGATGGGGAAGTTACCACTTTACAATATTATATTAGGTGAAAAATTTATCAATATAAAAAGCTCCACAGTTATCTATAACCTCATTACACCTCATGGGATTATAGAGTTAAAATGTCTTTCATTTGTTTTGTTTGCGGGAAAGAGTTTACTGAAAAGAGAAATCTGTTGAGACATATGAAATCCATTCATGAACAACAAGTGTATTGATGTCCTAAATGTTCCCTCTCCTTTAACAGACAGGATGCTTTGAAGCGACATGTAAGACAACATTCTACAAGGCTAAAATTTAAGAAGGATGACATGTGGAAAGAGAATACCGAATGGGAACCTATACAGAGACTTTAAGAATGTAGGCAAAACACCTTAGCGCGAGCATGGTTAGTCCCTTCAAAACTTATTGAAGAGTTGAATGAGAGATGTGTTAAGATCTGATGTAATATGACGAAGCGCTGAGACATTCTATGTTGACACTTCACAAATATACTGAGACCGCAAGATGGAAAGCTAATAACACTAGTTAAAAGAATGACTATTAATAACCTTTATGTTTCATGCCTAAAATCAAGACATCGTATGAATTCTTTGAAGCTTTAGTTTCAGTTGAATAAACGGTGGAATGTATATCTTACACTCATTCCGTATGTAAATCCATCTTTATTTCCAATGGTTGTATCATATTTTCGCTTCAACGGTTTTTCATGGATTCACATATCATTAGTTCGCTAGGATGCATTTTGTTTTGTCTTTTTTCTGGGAATACTTGATCTTCATTTCCAAGAAAGCCACGTAAACTTATTTCACTTCTATCGGTTTTCCTCTGTCATTATGACCTCAATCTAACAAACATCAATTCATTGTTCTTCCAATTGAGTAAGTGATCAACATAAGCTATTGTAAGGCCTGCTCAGTTTAATATAAATCCATAGGAAAAGTCATAGCACCACAAGTCTCTCGTGTATCTCTCCTACTCAAATTTAAGATCCAGTCAACATGTATTTTAGCAATTAGTTCATGATCTAATAAGGAGATTTGTTTTTTACTCTTCCACGCATGGCTTCTTGCGTGATTCCACGCCCTGCACACTAGCAAACTTTGATCCAGGCTCCACGCAAATCCACTTAGACTCTTTCCAACTCTGACTCTGTGCGCACGATCACGTGCTCCACGCGCTACACACTCACTATCTTGAATCCAGACTCCACGTAAATCCACTTCCAACTCTTTCTAGCCTGCGAGAGCATCCGGTTTTTTCGGCTCTAGTTTCACCCGCCGTGAAGCGGAAGAGAGAAGCGACGACCGGAAATACGTCTGCGGTTCGCAGGCTAAACTCTTTCCGAAGATATTCTGAAGATATCCAAACTCAAACCTTCATTATAGGACTATCTCTTACTTTGAGTCGTTATCATTCCCTCAGTAACGTCGTTGCTGACAGGAGAAAACGACTCGAAGCAATCGGATAAAATTCAGGCTACTGTAACAGTTCACGCCACGCCAACCTGACAGGCCTTGTGGCAGCCCTATGCGTTTTCGTTTACTTTTCTTTTGTATCAGTTACCCGGAAACTTGGCAACTTCTTTGCAGCACCAAAAAACGCGCATAATTTCAAAGTTACTTGAATAACAGATCCTTACGCAGTTTCAGTCATTTATCAAGAGAGGATATAAAACAAAATTCTTAAAATTGCTGTTGTGTGTGTGTGTGTGTTTTATTTTTTTTGCTATATTTAATTGAATTCCGGGTTTCACAAAGATCCTTAGTTTCTCGAAAATAAAACCAAGGCCGGGTTGTTCGAAGGTGGGTTAAGATCACCTAACCGGTTAGTGCGAAATTTGAACTCAAATATGAGAGCGTAAAAACAAATTCAGTTTAATTCTCTTTGCTTACAATCCGATGATTGGATACTCTAAAAAATATAAAAAATTATCCGAGAGAATCCTTTTGATGAAAAGAAAAAGAAGCCCGGGTTAAAATGTAATTCTGGGTTAGCGCTAACCGGCGTTCGAACAACTGGGCCCTGGCAACAAAACTATAAAACACATCGTTCACAGTGCCCCATGCAATCAAGGCTATGCATATATGACGTGGGTCTCGGCTGTTAAGGAATGACGTGAGAGTAATTTATAGTTCAATGAACGTGGTTTTAAATAACATAGGTTCAGTATCAACAAGAAGTTTATACAGTGTTTACCGTCGAAAGTGACCGGAAGCTTGGCAACACACTATATGGTAATAAGTTGTAGTTGATTGATAGATTCCTAGAACTCGCGATCTTTCTGTTTCAACGAAGGCTGGCATTTCCTAAAGGTAGTTCAAG